CAAGCAAAGAAAAGCATTGTTCAGACTTTGTGATTCATGATGGTCATGTAATGCACAGGCTTACAAATGGCAATGTAGTGACCATAGGACATGGCAGCCAAGTGGCATAATTCTATGTCTCCCAAGAAAATGACAAAAAAATAACTGAGCTATATAACCATTAAAGCAAATGGTTTTATCTCTTAGAATAATGGTACCTAGGAACTTGGGTATACTGACAGTTGTGAATGAAACTACCAACAGAGAGAAATTCCTGAAAAAAGAAATACATGGGAATCTGAAGATGGGGCTCCAGCAGGGTAAGGGTGATGATGGTCAGGTTCCCAGTGATGCCGAGCATGTAGGTGAGGAAGAGAAAGATGAATATTACCTCCTGGAGTCTGGGATCATGTGACAGTCCCATAGGATAAACTTTTTACTTCTTTGTGGTTTCTTTCTTTTTCTTTTTCTTTTTTTCTTTTTTTTTTTTTTTTTTTTTGCTTACTTTTCCTTTTGTCAAACCTAGAGAAGAAAGCACAAAGAAAAAGAACATGAGAATTAATAAATATCCAAGTTTGAATCTGGATTATTCTGAAATATTGTGTCATTTCCATCTTCAGAGGAAATGGAAAGCCACCTAAGAATGACAATTATCCTTTAATTTCTTCCTGTTTCTGGTGAAAAACCTTAGTTATGGCATATTAAGAAATAGTTTTGTATTAAAACTTCAATGAGATGCCACCTCACACCATTAAAATGGTTATTTTTAACAAAAGAAGCAGATAAAAAATCCCTGCCCCACAGATATTCTAGTGAATATGTGGAGAAAGGACTCAAATACATTTTAAGTCAGAATGTAAATTAATAATGCCACTAGGGAGAACAGCAGGGTGGTTCTCAAAAACTTAAAACAGAACTACTAGACTAACCAGCTTTTCCTCTCCTGGAGGTATAATTAAGGGAAATGAGGTAAGCATACCAAAGAAACACCCATGCACCCTTGTTTTTGTGGCGCTATTCACAGAGTGAATATAGATTTAACCTAGGTGCTCATCTATAAAATCTTTGCAGCAAAATAGATGGAACTGGAGGACATATGTTAAGTGAAATAATCCAGATAACAGAAAGTCATGTATCACATGTTCTCTCTCATATGTGGAAAGTAAAAAAAAAAAAAAAAAAAGAGTGGACCTGAAAGTAGAATACTGATTTCTAGTGTGGAAAGGGGAAATGGTGGGGCTTTAGGGGGGGAATGGAAGAAAGGTGGTTAGACATGATCAACTCAAACTATAAGCATGTATAGAAAATCATACTGAATTACATTAATATGTCTGTCTAATGCATATGTATGAATAAAATGCATTTATAAAGATAAAAATGCTGGGTTTTACAAAGATTGCAATGTTTGGCAAGGGTTTGTAGCCAGAGTTTTCTGATTCCAATTATTATATTTAACATTTCAGAAATGTTCCTTCAACATTTTTTCCAAATAAAATCGCTTTTGTCACTGCTCCTATCTGTGTAAACATCTCCTTTTTAAAAGGACAAGAATTATACAATCACATAAATAGTTGCAGAAAAGACATTTGGTAAAACCTAGCACCCATTTATGTTTTAAATGCTAGAGAAACTAGGGAGAGAAGAAACTTAACTTTGTATAGTCTATATATGAAAAACCACAGCTAGCAAAGGGGGTTGTAATCTTGTGGCCTTCTAATCTTGGGCTGACAAGAGTAGCTCAACACTGGAATGTAATTCTGTGGCCACTTAGCTGGTCCAGTGCTCCTATTCAACTGTAACTTAGTATATTATGGTCAATATTTCCCTGTTGTTCCTATTCTCCCAATTCTTGCCTC